GGTATGTTCACTGAAATTTTATTTAAAGAAATCATTATTTTAATTGAATTATCATTGAAACCCCCTTGAGGGGGTCCACTATAGGAAAGGGGTCCACTATTGGTTAATATACCCTACTCATCCGTTTAACTTATTTTTGGATGAAAATCATAGCAAACTGTGCTGTGTCGATGCTGTCATTTTTTCGTGCTCCATTGAGTTCTCCAAGCAGGATCTCACGAACACTACACTAATAATATAATTTTACACACACTAGCGTATACTGTCATGTGCACGGTAAGAATCAAACCTACATTTATGAGTAAAAGTGAACCCATTGTCAATAAAAGTGACACTGCTAATTAATGAGTAATTTAGTATACCAATTAAGTACTAACTGTTAGCTACTGTTAGCAGAAACTCATTATTGTTAAAATAATTTACTCATTAATGAGTAAAGCCACTGTTATTAAAAATGGGTTATCTTTTACCCATAAAAGGGTATTTGACTGTTACCGTGCAAGTGTAGGGTTTGTTTTCGTTTTGTTGTTTATTTTTACTTTAGAATGACAGTTCTTACAGGAAACAAAAAAATTCTCACAGCTAACAAAAAATTTCATCTCACTAACACACGCAAATCGCACCAATACGAACCCGCCTGGAGAGGACTATTGCCTCCGTTCGTGCTCCATTAGTCATCGTATTAGTCTTCGTTAGTGCGTGGCACAAAGCGACAAAAAAAAATGGTTGCTGGTAGGTTGTGAGTGTTTTTAGTTCCATTGTAGCATGGTGATGATGAGAGCATGATAGTGGTTTACCACCCATTGTAGCACGTAAACTAAGTCCGATAGCAGTGGGCTCTCTTCTCTGTTTGCTTAATAACCTCTGATTGTCCTCAACATATCGCTGTATGAAGGGCCAAAAACGGATTGGGTGGATCGATAGGCAAAATCGCCTATACGCATCTACGGGACAATAAAGAATCTCCTTCCAGCAACATGATCAGCCAATTGGTCAACAAGACGAGTTCCCAAACAGGAAGATGCCCCAATGAGTGGGGTGAAGAGCCCGCCCTTTATCCACGAAATGTTATCAACAGGGAGTTTACATTCCCACTCTCCCCGTCCAAATCGCTTCAATCGGGTGCCCCTTTTTTATATGTACTTAAATGTTAATGTTATGTAAATGTTATATATAATGAATCATCACTTATGCGAGTCAATTGTTATGATTATTGTCAATAATAATTACATTTAGATGAAGATGATGCCACCAATCCAACTTTGAATCGTTCGGAGAAGGGGCTCATGGTTCCACTCATCCTGTATAGTCTTCTCCTTCTTCTTCTTCAGGTTCACTCACCACCCGAAATGAACGCTCGGTGCATCATAGATTTGATATGGTTAGTGTGCAACAGAAAATGATGAGTTTTTTAAAGTAATAGTTTCATCTGAATTCCTAACTAACCACATCGTATCTTAGTGACATTGTCTCACTCTGAGCCTACATTTAAAGTTATGTCTTGATTATATGGTTACTGTGCAAGTACCACAAGTTCAACAACGCCCAACTATGGACAGTTCAATGCCAGGGCTGGTAGCAGGTCACTTTTTAGTGACTTGGTCACTATTTTCAAGCCAGTCACTAAAAAGTCACTTTTTTCATCAAAAGGTCACTAAAGTCACTATTCCTTAAAATTTAGTCACTAAAGTCACTTTTTTACTACCATGTTGAGAGTAAAAACAAACTTTAAAAACTTACATCAAATCACAGATTTATTTGGTAACAAATGTGTGTTGGAAATATTATTTGTTTGATCTCGAATTGGGTTTAGACCTATCAAAAATTGTCAGAGGTTCCGAAAAAAATCTAGACCCAGTAGCCTGGCTATTTTCCTTCGAGATCTTGCATGTTTTCCAAGCCTAAAATGTCAAAAAGTAGTCTAGGAAAGTGCTCTCGACATTTTTTCAAAGGTCAGAATTTGAATAATCTCTGACACCCGGTAGCTTTAGAATTTGTCCAAACACCGAGAAAAAAATCACGTCACAGAATCAGGAGTTCCTTTTTAAGTCCATTAAATTGTATTGCATTTTTTCGTACGAGTAATCCGGAACTACGAAAACAAATTCCCAGGTCCAGGTTTTAGAAAAACAAAATATGTCCATGAAAATAACATATTATTTTATACGTTTCAGAAGCATTTAAATTGTTCAAGGACTGTGAACTTACATTCTATATGTAAAAAAATCGGATAATTATGTCAGGCATTGCAATTTTCTCAATTCGGTGATCTCAAATTGTGAAGCCAAAAAAAATTGTCCAAAACCAAGGGATAGGTCACTTCGCACACCAATCTTGGGTCATCTTATTTGTCAGTGTGCCACAGGTGTGCCGATTGTGCCGGTCATAGAGCAACCTGCGATTGTTTGTAAAAATACCCATCCCGGCAACCCGGTATTTCTGAAACCTTGAATGTTTTGGTTTGAAATCGCAGGGATAAATCGGATTGAGGATGACGCGGGAAGTGGCGGGTGTGCGAAATTATGATGTTTTGTGTTCATAGGACAGTAAAAATCCTGTGTTTTAGGGTTTTATAATGCCCTCAATGGCAGACCAGAAACCTAGCTTATCGTGATGTAAAAAGCAACGGTCTATTAGCGGCCGGAAAGATTTGGAACCGGTTGGGAACATAATTCAAGATCGACTATAGATGATGATGAACTACAGAAGTCTAGTTTGTTTGGTGTGAGTTGCAGCATTATTCGAATTAAGGGTATTAATGAGGTCTGATTAACTGCATCTGTCTTTTGAACCCACTCTAGACCCTACATTTCGTATTTAGATCTATAAGACTGCTGGTCTGAGTTCCTCTGGTATATTTAATTAGATGATGTTACTGAATATACAGTCAAATAGCACGTAATGACAGTTGTCCAGCAGTGCTCCCATTTTATTTAAAATTGACCAATACCTACGAAATTGTGCCGAAGATGTGCCGATGGATATGCCCAAGTTGTGCCGAATTTAATTTCGGCTAATGTGTTGAGTGACTTACCCCTTGTCCAAAACTCTCTCCCTATTTTTTCACGATCGAGATTTTTAGTCCTAGACGCATTCAAATGTTGTTTTATGTCCGTGATCTTTCCATCTGGAATAATTTTCTTCGTTCCATACAAATGAGATGTTTTTTTTTAACTGCGATCTAAAAAAGTTGTCTAGGTACAAGTCTAGGTCCCACAGTTATGAATTTGTTTCTGTGTGTTACAGAAGATTCTCTTCTTGGAAGGAATAGAGACAACCAGTGCGCTATAGCGGCTACAAAGAGGAGAACGATTTTTTTAAATTAAAATACTAATCGCTAATCGCATCGCTTATTCTATATTCTAGATATTTAAAATTGACTGTCCTAAAATTGTCGAAATCTGTCTAAATCTTTGAATTTGAACATTTTTGTCTGTGCCTCAATTTTGCGATCTAATCATCAAAGTTTGATTTGGATCTAATATCAACTTAGTAGATAGTTTGTTTGAAAAAATAGCTTATTCAATTCACACTTATTTTTTGAGGACAATGGGATCCTTTAATTGTTTGTTTTATTATTTTGGAGACATGAAAAATGCGCATGATGGGTTTGTAAATTTATGAAATTTCTCGAAGTGGCAATCGCAATCAGCGGAAGATTGAAACCATATCTTTCCGATTAATAAATGTCACTATTGGTCACTTTTTTATTGTTTAAAAGTCACTATTTGGTCACTATTTTCGTTATTTTAGTCACTAAAGTCACTACTATGCAATCACATACTCACTACCAGCCCTGCAATGCTATGGATACCAAAGAATATATACACAGCAAAAAAAAATGTAATATCGATCAACGTAATTCAAGCTGATGTATGAAATAATGATGTAATAGCAAATAGCAGATACAATATTACATCAATGGATGTAATTTTGTTCGCAAAATCGATGTACATCGTACAATGTGATATTGCACAACCGATGGATTGACCTGGTTGCAGCAGTTTCGATGTAATATTCAACAACTTTTTTTGCTGTGTAGAGATAAAGCTCAAAAATACAGTTTTAACTGAAAGTGACTCATCAAGCTGTTCCATATTGGACCCTGCCAACCCACGGAACCTGTAATGTGGGCCATCAGAATGGTTCATCGGTTGCTAAGTCAAGTACTGCTCAAACTGAAGCGATACATCTCTCAATGTTTCAACTTTATTCTAACGAAAACTCAATATCATCTCACCCATATGCCCATACACACCCAAAACCCATCCCCACACAAAATCAAATAAAAAGGTTTATGTATGGTAAACACGTCCGGACATTAACAGGGAAAATGGGTTTACATCTTCACTATCGCAACTACGGGTAATCATCGAAAGTATTTGCATTTTACTCAGGCACTTTTGAGGGAACTTCAATCAACCTCTCATACCATGAGCTTCCGAAGAAGTCGAACTTGATAAATAAGGACGATGAGGATTTATTCTGCTGTGAACGAGTGGTTTCGTGTAGACGAGTGGTTGTGGAAGTGCTTATTAATTGTTGTGTAATAATTTCAATGGCTGCAAATAAATTCAATTTTACTTTGGTTGTCATATATTCGTTGATTTCCATTATAAAGAATGGAAAATTATTAAATTTTGAATTATTCCAACGTTGGGTAAAGTTTACCTATTTATTAACCTAATTTTTCCTAGCCCCACTGAAGCCACGCGTTGAGTGAAAGGAACTCGATTTTGGGTACTTTTTTCTTACCGTGTAGAAATTTTAGTGGCACCACTATTTTTTTAAATTTATCAAGAAATTCAAACAAAGTCATTGGAAACTTTCCGTAACACGTTTTTCGGAGGCTTTGTAGTCGGTGTAAAGTTTTTTACCCACATTGTTCGAAGCGTTAATTTAAATTCTGTTACTATATCTAATATTGTTCTTATAAGATAATTTTGTTACGGGTGACCTTCATAGCTTATTGATGAAATATTTATCCTGTTTTTTTTCAGGTGGTTCAAAATGGATCAACAATCGTATGAAAGTGAAATTAAGTCGGGTGGCCACGGCGAAAAATTCCAAACAGACGTTGCCCTCGTACTGTTGCTGCGTACGCGGGAATTAAGTTCCACTACAAGGATGGCGTATGAAATGAAGATGGCCGACAAGTTTGACGATGTTGTGTTGATTGACGATACAAACAAGGAGATCCACTTAATTCAAGCAAAACACGCCGATACCAAGGATGAAAAGGTTAAAAATATCGATATGGATGCCCTGTTTCCAACCGGAAATAGTGCCAAACGCACCGGGGACTTTGATTTGTGCAAGTATGCCAAATCCTACATGACTGTGACTGGAAGATTGGAACTAACGGCGTTCAAGAAGATGTTTTACATCTTCACCAATAAGGATCTGAAACAGACCGATAACGAGTGGGTGAAAATCGAAGAACGGGAAGTTAATGAAATCCTACGTTTTTCTGGATCCAGTGCCAAAAACCTGGAACTTATTCCATGCGAAAAGGCTATCAACGAGGTGCTCAATTACATCAACAAAGATATCATTGCGATTAAAGATGCGATCAAAGAGTTCTTTCACAGCGGAACGGTCAGCCAAATTTTAACTCACTATTGCACTCCATTGAAAGACGTCATGGTCATAGACCGGAAAAAGTGTCGCTTTGCAAGCAACTTCAATGCTGAACATACAAATCCCAATGTTGCCTTGCTATACACCATGTTGCAAAGCGATCAGGTTGATATGGAGAAAGAAGTAACCGTCATTAATAATTTCCTGGCGAAAGACTCAAGGAACAAACTTTTGCCACCATTCGTGGGTGAGGATGATATTCGTGGCTTCTTTCGTGATTTGACTCTATCGGTGGGTCAACCGAACGATTTGCGACCTATCATCGTTGGTGAACTACTGGCTTGGATGAAGACGTGGATCCAGCCGGACATTCTCGGTAAGCTGGGGGAAAAGGACTTGGATCAGGTGTATATCGACCTGGAAGCTAATTTTGTCGAATGTAACGAACCTGAAAACAAAAATAGGAAGCGTTTTTTGGCCAAACAAGGTATCGAACAATGCTTTGGACAATTAAAGCGTGGAATGGAAACGGGTATGATGAAGCGCGTAATGGCAGAGGCGGAAGAATGGCAATTTACGTATATTAACCGCCATATCAAGTACGAAGAGACGGCATTAGAACCAACCGGTAAATTATTAACCAAGGCAACAGATAAGGATAGGACTAGCACAATAGTTCGACAGATAAGTGATACTAGATTAGTTGAAGCGCTTCGAGGAGAATTCAAAAACCAGCAACATATTTTACTTGTAGCAGACCCCGGTATGGGAAAAACCAGATTACTGCAGTTTTTGGCATTTCAGGTTCAAAAACAAAGCCACTCTGCAGTATTCTTGGTGTATTTAAGCACGCTATGCAATGAACTCAACAAAATTGAAAAAGTATCAAACTTAGACGATGTCCGGGGAATTCTCAGCGCTGTTCTTTCAGAGAATAACTGTAATCTCATCCTTAATGCCCCGGAAAGGCGAAATGACGAAGAATATTCCATTATTTTAGCATTGGATGCATTTGACGAAATACATTCCAAATACACCGAGAAAGTAATTAGTATACTTGAACTGCTCAGCTCTAGAAAGAGTATTCAGTTCATAATCAGCTCGAGACTCCACGTGCAGAAATTATTGCAAAGGAAATTCGATGTAAAGCTAATATCCCTAGTCCCTTTTCGGCATGAAGATCAGATCCAGTACTTGAAGAAAATATGGATGAAGGACAGTGTTGATGAGAAAGTTGTTGAAAACTTTTCGGAACTTCTTTTAAAAAAATATCATTCCAGCATTTTATCCAACTTGAGTGAAATTTCCGGTTTGCCTCTGATGATGCGTATGCTCGCTGAAATTTACTCTGACAAATTCGAACAATTTATTTTAACAACAAATTTCGACAATATTGAACTGTTTGATTGGTCAGAAGGCACATTGAATATTGTGCAACTGTTAGAGCAGTTTGCAAATAAATGTTTTCACTTCAAATTTTTAGAAAAATTTAAATTCACGGTTGATACCCAAGATGCTGAATTTAATTCAATAATTGACATGTACATTTTGGAACATCAACTGCTAGCGATAAAGCTGCTAGACATTGAAATGCTCATGAATTTATTCACGGTGCCGTATTTTAAGAAAATATATGACTCATTCAAAAGCCGTTGTGAGAAGGATGCAGAAAAGTCTATTTTGGTGAAAGTAGTCAACAATAATGTTCAGTTCTGCCATTTATCATTTGGTGAATACTTCGTAGCAACATATTTATGTGATAACATTTCCGAGTTGAAACCAAACTTATTGATCAACGTTCTATCTCAACACGATGTTATTAGGAAACTGACACTGATCAAGCTTGGAGAAAATGTAAACTGCTCCGAAACTTTAAACGATTTGTGCAGACTAAACAAGAACGTACCTTTGTGGGTATGTGAGAGTGGTTGTCTGAAATTGGTTTCATCCCTAAAAGTTGAAGAGTTCTCCACTTTTACACTAAACGATATGTTAAAAGTATCTGCGAAATGCGGATATTTCGAAATATGTAATTTTCTAATTGATTACAATGCAAATCTCGATAAATGCACTGCGCTGCACTCTGCCGTTGAAAATGGCCATCTGAGAGTTGTGAAACTATTGATAGCGAAAAATGCGGACCCAAATGAGGTGTACAAAAACAAATGGACTGCACTTCATTATGCATGCAATAACGGAAATGTAGAACTAGTTAAATTCTTTATTGATCGCGGTATGAACACTTCCTCTCGGTCAATCCACGGTGAAACTCCACTTCACATTGCTGCGCGGTACGACCATCTGAATATTGTTAAACTGTTGATAGCGAATAATGCGGACCCAAATGAGATGGACGATTATAAAGGGACTGCACTTCATTATGCATGCAATAACGGAAATGTAGAACTAGTTAAATTCTTTATTGATCGCGGTATGAACACTTCCTCTCGGTCAATCAACGGTGAAACTCCACTTCACATTACTGCGCAGTACGGTCATCTGAATATTGTTAAACTGTTGATAGCGAAAAATGTGGACCCAAATGAGATGGACGATGATAAATTGACTGCACTTCATTATGCATGCCTCGGCGGAAATGTAGAAATAGTTCAATTCTTGATTGATGATCGCCGTACGAACACTTCCTCTCGGTCAACCGACGGTAAAACTCCATTTCACATTGCTGCGTGGTACGGCCATCTGAATATTGTTAAACTGTTGATAGCGAATAATGTGGACCCAAATGAGATGGACGATTATAAATGGACTGCACTTCATTATGCATGCCTCGACGGAAATATAGAAATAGTTCAATTCTTGATTGATGATCGCCGTACGAACACTTCCTCTCGGTCAATCGAGGGTAAAACTCCATTTCACATTGCTGCGCAGTACGGCCATCTGAATATTGTTAAACTGTTGATAGCGAAAAATGCGGACCCAAATGAGATGGACGATGATAAATGGACTGCACTTCATTATGCATGCAAAAACGGAAATGTAGAACTAGTTAAATTCTTTATTGATCGCGGTATGAACACTTCCTCTCGGTCAATCCACGGTGAAACTCCACTTCACATTACTGCGCAGTACGGCCATCTGAATATTGTTAAACTGTTGATAGCGAAAAATGCGGACCCAAATGAGATGGACAAATACAAATGGACTGCACTTCATTATGCATGCAAAAACGGAAATGTAGAACTTGTTCAATTATTTATTGATCGCGGTATGAACATTTCCTCTCGGTCAATCAAAGGTGAAACTCCACTTCACATTGCTAAGAAAAACGGTCATCAAAGTGTTGTGGAACTGTTGAAAGCGAAGTTGACGATGATAGATAGACTGTCCTCCATCATGCATACCATAACGAAAATATGGAAATAGTTCAATTCTTGATTCATCGTGGTATGAAGACTTCCTCTCGGTCAATCATCGGTGCAACTCCACTTCACATTGCTGCGGGGGACGGCCATCTGAATATTGTTAAACTGTTGATAGCGAATAATGCGGACCCAAATGAGATGGACGATAGGAAATGGACTGCCCTCCATTATGCATGCCAAAACAGAAATATGAAATAAGTTCAATTCATAATTGATAAAGGTGGGAACATCAGCTCTCGGTCAATCCATGGTGTAACTCCACTTCACATTACTGCAGGGAATGGCCATACGAACGAGCGCTGTGAAACTCTTGATTAAGGGGCTTCATATGTTTTAATTCGACCAAAAAACCAACGTGTTAGTATCAGTATTCATTAACACGTATTCGTTACTGATGTTCATTGACCGAATTTTACTCAGTAAAAATATTTTTGCCTTTTTTGTTAAATCCACTTTTCAAAAATCAGCCTTGATCATGCACACGCGACCAGTTTAAGGAGTCTTCACCCCAAAAATGAACCGATTCGATCAAAGCAGTGATAAGATATCGCGGGACCCGTTCTTCCAAATCACTAACTTCAAATAAGAATATCTCAGCAATTTTGTTACCAAATGGCTTTAAATATTTATTTTGTTGACAGTTGAAAATGTATATTTTGATGCCCGAAAATACGTTAAGAAAATAAATTTGTTTGCCGACTAACCTGTATGTAGCGCTGGCGTTAGCGTTGTTATAATATACTTTGTAGATTGAATACTAGCGACACTCACGACTCTTTTGAAACTCTCAGTCAGACTACTTTCAGGAATAATGCTGGGGAGTAAACATTGATTTAAATCTAAATAAGAAAATAAGAATACCAGAATGATGACTTTCGCTATTCCCGGCCACGCCCATCTTTACCATAGCTAAGGATAGGGAAGGAGATGTTGATGTAGTACTTCCTTAACGAGAGGCCACCAACTTAGCGACTCCCTCATAAGTGCTACGGAGTTGGAGGTTCGGGTAGGGTCTTCGGTAACGATTCACCTCAAGTTGGCGATGCAACCCAAAGTTTATTTTGTTCAAGCTCTCGATAGCCGATTATCGAAAGAAAATATTAATTTTGTTTAGTCATATTGTATTTTAAGGGTCATGACGGAGAGCTTGGGATTACATCCATGATTTTCTGTTCAGTAAGCAAAAACAATAAAAAAAAAATGGACTACAAAATATGACTACATTTTCGCTTGGTATTTAACGAACGACTGAAATACGCGATAGTAAAAGTTTTCGAGATTGATGGATAATCTCCATTATTGGATATACAGTCTACACGTCTGTCCTAAAACTCAAATATTACTTCTTCACGTACCCGACCCTTGAACCGAATTTCTTTACGCTTTACATCATATTATGAAATAAAGCTGATTTAAGTTGGTTTATTGTTTATCAGTCAACAGGTAAAATGTTTACCCCAATGACACCTGTTCTACAACTAAATACAAAACTAACGAATAACATAAATTAACATAAAACTTGTTTAAAACTACGCTTGTTTGTTTCTCGTGACACGTTGAAATCGTACACATAATAACACCGGTTGAATACACGGGACATGCTTCGCAAAGGTTCGTGAAAGCCATAATTAGTTCTTGCCGGAGGGATGGTGATAAACGAGTGCGACCGAAGATTGCGACGACGTGTGTTGATGTCCAAGAAACTAAGAAGCGTAGGACTGTCAATGTTGCCTTGCAGAAGATCCCCAACAAAGCACGCTTTTGCCACGTTGCGTCTTGCTTCTAGTAATTCCAAATTTATAAGTAGACAACGGCTTTCATAACTTGGCAGGTTGAATGGATCTCTCCACCTAAGCTGACGTAGAGCGAACCGGACGAATTTTCGCTGAACAGCTTCGATGCGTTGAGTTTCATTCTGGTAATAAGGAGACCAGACGATAGACAAATACTCCAAGATAGGGCGCACAATTGAGCAATATAAAGCTTTTAGGCAGTAAACGTCCTTGAACTTTTTTGCAAAGCGAAATCAAAATCCTAGTTGCGATGAGGCTTTAGACACAACGTACGCGACGTGATCCTTGAAGGTTAATTTTGTGTCAACCAGAATCCCCAGGTCCTTGACTGTCGAATCACGTTGTAGATTCACGCCTCCCAAAGCATAGCTAAAATGGAAGAGTGATTGCTTGCGGCCAAATGAAATAACCGAACATTTGGACACGTTCAGCGACATTCGATTAATATGACACCATTCAGCGAAGGCTTCCAGTTGTTGTTGCAGAAAAAACGCGTCTTGTGGTTGCTTAATCGTGTAGTAAAGCTTCAGGTCATCGGCATACGAGAGTTTTAGGCATTTCAAGATGAAATTGACATCGTTCATATACAGCAAGAATAGAAACGGCCCCAAGTGACTTCCTTGGGGAACACCGGACCAAACCGGAAAGGAGGGCGAAACGTGGTCTCCAATTTTGACGGACATACTTCGACCGGTTAGGTAGGATCGAAGCCAGGAAAGCAAGTTATTGTTCATTCCCAGCTTGTCGAATTTAGCAACTGCGATTTGATGATTCATTTTATCAAACGCCGCGGATAAGTCTGTGTAAATAGCGTCTACTTGTTGACCATTTTCTATTTGGCGGATCACGAACGAAGTGAAACAAGTCAAATTACCTTACCTTACCTTACCAATCAGGCTAAGGCCTTGTTGTCCTCTGCTGTCCGAAGAAGTCGTCTCCACTCTACTCGATCCATGGCCACAGTTCGCCAGCCTCGTAGTCTGCGAAGGGTCCGCAGGTCACCTTCTACTTGGTCGATCCACCTTGCCCGCTGCGCGCCTCTTCTTCTTGTTCCTGTTGGGTCGCTTTCTAGAACCATTTTCACTGGGTCGTCGTGCGGCATTCTTACGACGTGCCCAGCCCACCGTAGTCGCCCAATTTTTGCAATGTGGACGATGGATGGTTCTCCCAGCAGCTGGTGCAATTCGTGGTTCATTCGCCTCCTCCACGTTCCGTCATCCATCTGCACTCCACCGTAGATGGTACGCAACACCTTCCGTTCGAAAACACCAAGGGCGCGTTGGTCCTCCACGAGCATAGTCCAGGTCTCGTGGCCGTAAAGGACCACTGGTCTAATCAGCGTCTTGTAGACAGTCAACTTCGTGCGGCGGCGAATTTTATTCGACCGGAGCGTCCTCCGGAGTCCAAAGTAGGCACGATTCCCTGCCATAATGCGTCTTTGAATTTCTCTGCTGGTATCATTTTCGGCGGTCACCAGTGAGCCCAAATACACGAACTCATCGACCACCTCGATTTCGTCACCGTCAATCTGAACTCGGGGTGGGAGGCTAACATTGTCTTCCCTAGAACCTCTTGCTTTCATATATTTTGTCTTTGATGCGTTGATGGCAAGTCCAATCCGTCTAGCTTCAGCCTTCAGTCTGATGTACGTTTCCGCCATCATCTCAAAGTTCCGTGCCATAATGTCAATGTCATCGGCGAAACCAAGGAGCTGGATGGACTTCCTGAATATCGTGCCACTCGTGTCTATCCCAGCTCTTCTGATCACACCTTCTAACGCGATGTTGAACAGCAGACACGAAAGTCCATCACCCTGCCGTAACCCCCTTCGAGATTCAAAGGGACTCGAGAGTGTCCCCGATACTCGAACAACGCACGTCACTCGATCCATCGTCGCCTTGACCAATCGCGTCAGTTTATCCGGAAATCCGTACTCGTGCATAATCTGCCATAGCTGATCTCGATCGATTGTGTCGTATGCGGATTTGAAATCGATGAACAAATGATGTGTGGGCACGTTGTATTCGCGGCATTTCTGCAGAACCTGCCGAATCGCGAAAATTTGGTCCGTGGTAGCGCGGGCACCCATGAATCCCGCCTGGTATTGCCCCACGAACTCTCTTGCATATGGTGACAGACGGCGGCATAGAATTTGGGAGAGTACCTTGTAGGCGGCGCTCAGCAGTGTGATCGCGCGGTAGTTGCAGCAATCCAACTTGTCGCCCTTTTTGTAGATTGGGCATACAACACCTTCCATCCACTCCTCCGGTAATATCTCCTCCTCCCAAATCTTGGCAATTACCCAGTGCAGCGCTCTAGCCAGTGCTTCACCACCGTATTTCAATAGCTCACTTGGTAGTTGATCTACACCAGTTGCTTTGTTGTTCTTCAGCCGACCGATCTCCTCCTCAACTTCTTGAAGATCAGGGCCGGTAGCCTGTCGTCTTCTGCGCGTGCTCCAAGGTCTGTTGCCGTGCCACCTTCGTTTTCTGCTGCTTCACCGTTGAGGTGCTCGTCATAGTACTGCTTCCACCTCTCAATCACCTCACACTCGTTCGTGAGAAGGTTACCGTCCAAGTCCTTGCACATATCGGCTTGCGGCACGTAGCCTTTGCGCGAACTATTTAGCTTCTCGTAGAACTTCCGTGTGTCGTTTACGCGGTACAGATTTTCCATCGCCTCGCGATCTCGATCTTCCTGCTGACGCTTCTTCCTTCGGAAAACCGAGTTTTGTCTGTTCCGCGCTTGTCTGTATCGCTCCACATTCAATCTCGTGCGGTGTTGCAGCATTCTCGCCCGTGCTGCATTCTTCTCCTCTACTAACAGTTTGCATTCGCCGTCAAACCAGTCATTTCTTCGGTCCGGGATTGCAGTACCTAGTGCCGCTACAGCAGTACTACCTATGGCTGAACGGATGTCCCTCCAGCCATCTTCAAGAGAAGCTGCGCCAAGCTGCTCTTCCGTGGGTAGTGCAACTTCCAGCTGCTGCGCGTAGTCCTGGGCAACTCCGGTGTCCCGTAGTTGCTCAATGTTGGGTCGTGGCGTTCGACTTCGACGTGTGTTATGCACCGTCGATAGTTTTGAGCGCATGCATACTGCAACTAGGTAGTGGTCCGAATCTATGTTCGCACTGCGGTACGTGCGGACGTTGATAATGTCGGAGAAGAATTTCCCGTCGATTAGAACGTGATCGATTTGGTTTTCTGTGTGTTGGTCAGGTGATCTCCAGGTGGCTTTGTGGATATCCTTGCGGGGGAAAAAGGTACTTCGAACTACCATACCCCGGGAGGCTGCAAAGTTCACGCATCGTTGGCCGTTGTCGTTCGATACGGCATGCAGGCTGTTTGGCCCGATTGCCGGTCTATACATTGCCTCCCGTCCTACCTGAGC